CTTGTCCTCTGTGGATTTGCCTGTCAGACAAGATTCCCTGGAGACCCTTAGCAGCAGTGCTTATTTCTGCTCACCTTATGATCCTGGTCCGTTATGCAACCTACCACTTGGGTCCAGGTCCACCAGAAATCTCCCAATTTGTTTTCAAGTGCCCAGATTCTCGTATAGACTGGTCTCTCTCCACCATTTTCCCCCTCTCTATCTATCCATCCCTCCCTCCCTATCTCTCTCAGGCACTCTATCCTTTCCTTGCACACCACTGCATCATGACAGATTTGGGGCTTTGGTTAATTTACTTACCTGCTTTATGTATAGTGGGAATTTTCTCTCCATTTATCTTTTACATTACGCATTATGTTAATTGCAACAGTACCTTTTAAGGTTATCCGGCCTTAACACCTCAAAAAGTAAAATATTTTGCCACGTTTATAGAGAGAGTTGCTCAGTTACTATGGTTGATGATAAACATTATCCTTTGATATTGTAGCTGGGCATTTTCTAAAATTGATAAAATGGTGTACTTATTTTCTGCTAAACCTCATCACAGATAGGTTGAGAGTTCAATTTTGGCTTTTTAAAAAGGCTTTGGTTATATTAATTCAAACGATATAGGCCTAGATTGCGAAAATGAGATGCTGAAATAAAATATGGAACCATGCAGAGGCTAAAATTGCAAAGGATTGCTGTTGGTTATTTGCTCAGCTTTCCTATATCCTTAAAATAGATCTTAAATTGCCTCCACGCCTCCAGAGAGAGACTAAGAAATGGGACATGAACGCGTGTTCAATTATTCACCGCAGGAAATTTCAGTGATTGATGTTTTTTATCGATGGTACAGTATACTATTTTCCAACTGAGGTGGTCTAGCTAAGCTTTTCTTTACATTCTTCCACATATAGTGCCTGGAATTTAAATAAACATGTATTGTAAAACAACATGGTATGGTTAAAATTGAAATCACTCAATTAGGCTAATCTTAAATTGATTTCTTATTGCGCTAATATAATATAGTCACTCTGTATCACATTTCTCATACTTATGTCTTCATATTAGAGAGATCAGACACACTTTTCTTTATTGACTTTATTGATGAATGTATTATTAAGATTGGACAGCAGTATATTATATTATCTTTTTCCATCTCAAAGGAATTCAAATGACCCATATCTGCCATTGACACATTTTTATAGAAACTGTAATAAATTATGGAATGGGTATTACAGTCTTGGTAAGAAAAAAATAATATAGGCACAAATCTGCTTTGACATGAAGAAATGTCTATCTGTCCTTATTTAACACACTAGATAATATTGATTTGTAGGTGTTTACAATTACAGGATGAGAGTCTGAGACTGAATTATTATTTATGTATTATTCATGTTAGCAATAGTGCTAGAGAAATAGAGAGTTTTCATTGGCTCATGCTAAATGTTCATAAAAAGGCTTCTTTATTAAGCACATTTATTAAGTGCAATCTCACCACAAGAAGATCAAATCCCTGACATGTTGTCATCCTATAAACTCTAGGTTGATGTTGATGATCAGTTGTGAATTATCTATTTTATGCAGTAATTGACTGGATACTTCACTTGTGGGTAAACACAAACATATCTTAGGTGATGTGACAGATTTATGGATATTAATATAATGTTGTTGTTTTGATCTCTTGTCATTATTTAGGCTAGTGGCTTCTAATATGAAACCATAATGCAGTGTGTACTGCTTTCCACAACATCAGCTCAATGGTTCATTAGATTGGTCTTGTGACATAATGCATTATAAAGGTATGTTAGCTCTAATGACACATGAGAGGACGTGGCCAAGACAAAATTAGATTTTCGAAATTAGACTGACCTGCTGTCATACATCAGTGTAATGATTCTCTGTGTGTCTCTTTATTAAAGTGAGTCCTAATGTGAGCTTTAGAATTGTGTTTGTGCTATTAAAATCATTTTTTGTTATTTGAGTTGTTTAATTCATCAGGTTTATCATGCTGGACATTGTTTGTTAGTGTTGGTTAAGACATTAGGTATGTCCGAACTCTGTAGGTTCAAAGTAATTTATAATTATGTTCATAATTTACTATCTTTCCTTCGTAGAACAGTACACAAAGCTTCTGCTCTCCTTGGCAAGTATGTGATCAGGTGATCACATTTTTCGGGGGGACAAAAAAAAGCATTGAAATATTATTATTATTATTACTGACTGATTTTCAGACTGATCTTTTTTTCTAAACACGGTGCGATCGGTGGCGGAAAAGTTCCCAACTTGGATTTTGCTCATGTTCAAGTTGGTTACACGAATTTGCTGTGTTCACCAACAGAAAGCTTGGTTTAAAAGTGACTTCTGTGTGAGATGTGCTTCATGCATGTGAATTCGCACCGCAATTTTGGTCATGTGACCCCACCTAAATGGCACACTATTCTCATAGAGGACTTTTGTTTTGGTGCTTAAAATCTCCAGTGCCCATTCCTTATCATTGTATTCAAAAACATGACTAGCACAAAATAACTCAAGACATATGGGTTTGGAACGACCTGAGTCGTTCCAGTAATGAAAGAATTTGAACGACTCCATTAAGAAGTTGCTTTCTGCATCTTTAAAAACACATTAGCTATTAGGCCCGTGTCTCAGCTTCCGGGAAAACGTGAAGAATGAGAGCAATCCAAGACCAGCATTGCGGTGAAGTGCACTTTACCGGTTCCCTTTGCTGTAATGATTTTCAAGTAGGAAGAGGAAAGAACAGAATGTTGAAGTAGAGAGAGGTAAATGAGAGTTCTCCTTCAACAAGCCGAGAACCAATTTACAACAAAACCAGGAGGCAGATGCAATGCGTTCATCTCTGTTGGTGGTATTTGATTAAGTCCCTTAAGGTCTGGAAATAAGGTCACTAAAATATGATTTTAAATCCTTGCTTTGTGTTAAATGCTCATTTGCATTTTTCTTCTTGCTAAAAGCCGATGGGATTAAATTAGCTGCTCTGAGCGTTCCTTATTTGTCCCTTTAATTTGAGTTAGGAAGTGCATAAAGTTTTATCTGCAGATGTGGCGGTCATATTTTGCTAACGACTGGAGGAGAAATTATTCCATTTATCATATAGATCATTCTTAGCTTTTAAAAATGGCTAATTATCACAAGTTCTGCATTATTCAAGACCATTATTTTTTAGAATTTAATAATGGCATGATAATTTATGCTTTTCAGATGTCTTTCGTCTGAAATGCATCAGAGGATGGCTGATTCTTTCTCCCTTCTCGTTGCCAAAGGTCACAAAGGCCAAGGCAAATTTCTATCAATGGATGTGTCCCTCCCTTCATTTTATCAGTAAAAGCAGAATAATTACAATGACCCTTCATAATTTGTGAGCTAATGACAGGCTACATTTAACAGTGTGGCCCTGGCTTCCCGATCCCTTCAAGCTTGAAAAGATCAGGGAAAACAATCTGTTCTTTCCTAAATGGCATTTTTGGGGCCAGGCTACAGCTGGTAATTGAGGAACGTGACGCTTATATAAACACAGTGCATCTCTGCATTGATGGCAGGTTCCAGACAGTAGGAAATTGAAGAAAGGCTGTGCAAAATTAAAGGCTGAACAAGCAATGAGGTAACCAGTTTGATTTGGAGGGCTCTTGAAGGCAAATTCCACCCCTTTTTAACAACTTCATGTTTTTATTTTCCTGGTTGGATTGGCTGTCAGTCTAGAGCTTTCTTTGAAAGTAGAACGCTTGAATAGAGTAGATGCACATTCAAAATTAATAATATGAGGGATAATGAATGTGGCTGACTTTGCTGTGGTGGAAATTCATTGTTTAATTTGTGACTCCAGTTGTATTGCTGTTTCTGTCATTTGATAAAGTACACTCCTGGTCAAAATAATTATGAAAGGAGTCTCTTATGCTTGCCAGTTCTGCATTTATTTGATCAAAATACTTTTGAATCGGTAATATTGTGAAATTAAAATAACTATTTTAATTTACTTTTAAATGTAATTTATTCCTGTGATGGCAAAGCTGAATTTTCAGCATCATTACTCCAGTCTTCAGTGTCACATGATCCTTCAGAAATCATTCTAATATGCTGATTTGGTGCTCAAGAAATGTTTTGTATTTTTATTAATTTTGAAAACAGTTGTATTGCTTAATATTTTTGTAGAAACCATGATACAGGACCATTCAAAAGTTTAGTAATTAAAAAGTAAATATGTAAAAGTAATTAACTGATTGATTAAAAAGGGACAAAAGATTTAAAAATGTTTTAAATGCTATAAACTTTATGTTTATCAAATTATCCTGGACAGATCTGTCATTTTGCTAAAATTTTGCAACAAAAATAATGTTTTCAACGATAATCATAACTATTAATATAATCACCCACTATTTGGATTACTCATGGATGGATGCACTTTATGGACTTCAAAACAGAAAACGTCCATTCACTGCCATTATAAAGCTTGGGAGAGCCAGAAATTTTTTTTTAATATAACTCAGATTGTATTAGTCTGAAGAATGTTATGTACACCTATGGCTTGAGGGTGAATAAATCATGGGCTAATTTTATTTTTTGGGTGAAATATGCCTTTAATAAACTAGCACCATTGATAATTGATAATATTTGAGCACCAAATCAGCATATTAGAATGATTTCTAAAAGATCATGTGTCACTGAAGACTGGAGAAATTATGCTGAAAATGTTGCTTTATCATCACAGGAATAAATGACATTTTAAAAAATAGTAAAATAGAAAACAGTTCTTTTAAATTTAAATAATATTTCACGATACTACTGTTAACCTACTTGACTACTTAACTAACCTTAACCCATTACTGTATCTATGATCAAGTAAGTGCAGCCTTGGTCAGCATTATAGACTTTAATTCTGTATATATATTGCTTACAGAATTGAAGCATATTGAAACTACAAGCTTCTCTTAATGATGGCAAGACATGATAATTCAACTCAAGATATGTTATTTACCCCCCTACTGTGGTTTATTGTGCAGGAAGGTGCTAAAAGAGATTCATGTTGGCGATCTGAAACCCAATGAGACGGTCCATGCCATTCAAGAGGCTCAGCTTCTCTCTCAGCTCAACCATCCTGCCATCCTCAAGTTCTACACCAGCTTCCTGGAGAAAGACACGTTCTGCATCATCACTGAGTATTGTGAGGTAAACTGGCTTCAACTGGTTTGGTTTCCTTCGGTCTCTAGTAGTCATATTTGGGTCTGAAGCAAGTCACGTGATCAGGTCTTGGTCTCTAGTTGTCATAATTGGGTTTGAAGCCAGTCACGTGATCTGGTCTTGGTAAACAATGTTGACCTGTTGTGATCACATTATTAGCAAATGTCTTATGTCCTTGAAACACACACTGGGATCAGTGGCGGCTGGTGAAAATTAGTGTCGGGTGGGCTGAATAAGAGGGGGGTCTGGGGGTTCCCCCCCAGAAAATGTTGAATTTAGTAGATGTGATTTCCTGCATTCTGGTGCATTTTAGGCCTTAGGCCATGCCCTTACCTATACCAATAAAATAACTGAAACCAGTCAATACCAATGGTCAAATAATACAATAATAATAATAACAGTTTGACAGTTAATGATAATGAACAAGTTGCATGTTTATTATGCTCTGTGTGCTGACAGAAAAAGTGCAAACGCATAATATTGATAAATTATAATATAGGTAATACAAAAAAAAAAAAAAGTAATACAACAATCTAGTTTAATCAATCCCCAGCTGTAGACTACATATTTTTGACAAATTGACAATTGGATAATGGATAACAATGTGTTGATACTAGAGAAAGAGAGAGAGAAAAGGCTCTGAAAGAGAGGGTGGGACAACGTTCTTGATTGTAACACCCAAGTATGAGAAGAAAGTTGATTTTAACTAGTATGAAACACAGTAATCTAGCTCAGAACTTAAAAACATCAAAAAACAAAGCAAACACACAGGTATTAATATTCCTATAACTATTTTAATATCAAATGTGTGTGAAACAGTGTTTATGTGTGTGTGAGTGAGTGAGTGAGTGACAGAGACAGACAGATCAATTCCCACGACTAACTTTACATTATTTCCACTCGACGTCACTGGCGCTGCCATTCTTCTCTCATCTGAGGTAAAAAAAAATGTCCCGTGGTGCGCGTGCACGGTGCACTCCCCTAATCTGATACTGTGGGCGATATTTTCAGCGCCCCCAAACCATAAAATTTGACGGCGCTGATTGGCGAAATATAAACTTTTTTGCATAGCAACCGGGGAACCATTGGCTTAAATTCCAGCACTGTGGGGCTGAGCGAACTGGCGCCCTGAGAAGACAGCCTATTGGCTATACTACTACACCAACATGATAAAAGTAACGAAAGTGAATGCAAATATCATTCTGGTGAGTTCAAAACACTTTTCAAAGTAAAACCATTATTAGCATATAATTAACACAGATTATTTTTCAAAATGATAAATTATAATATATATTAAAAAAACAGACAGACAGGTCGGAGGGAGGGCGGCGCCCCAGCGCCCTCTATGGGCGAGCCGCCCCTGACTGGGACAAGAATACTATTTCCAGAGATGTTCCTAATGAAAGTGAGTGATAGGTTCACTTCAGGAACATCCCTTTCCTTAGGGTCTACTCTAGGCCTTTATAAAATGTACATGAGATTTGATAGTTTTAAAGACAACATGAAATCAAAAGGACATGCTCCTGGTGTTATAGTGCAGGATTCATCAGTCCAAAAAGTCAAGTGGGTCGCACATGCCTTTTGGTTGACTTCCTAGTCATAATTCTGGATTTATTTGCTCCGAACCAGCTTTCCATTACTCTGCTTGCACTGTCCAGCTCCTCCCCCATCTCTGCAGTGCCTTTTCTGTGTTCAGCGATGGATCAGGGATGCCGAGAGCGTCCTGAAATCGCCCAGAGGTCACGCTCATCTCCTCTGAAGCTTCTGTGCCTCTGTATCTCACCATTTTTCATATTATCCTTGCTTATTAAGACATATCTGCAGGTCAGACCGGGCTCATGTCATCTCTGGCCTATGCCTTGGAAGGTTTGATGTGATTATTGCATTTTTTGCACATCTCCTTGATCTGTTTCTTTGGCACTCGAGAGTTAAACTCTCAGTGAATTTAATGGACATTCCCATCCTTTAAAAATCAGGAATGAGATCTCTGCTTGTTTCTCCTAGACAGCATTGAAAATAAATGGAGAGCAAATGAAGATTTTTGGTTTATCTGCTTTTCTGATTTATGAGATATTAAAATATACACTAATCTTATCTAGAGTTTTAGAAGAGATCTCAAATGTCATAAACCCAATGTTTGTGACAAATTCAATGACAAATGTTCAACTTGTGCCCATTTTTATTTCTCATTGTTATGTTATTATTAGGTTAAACGAAACAAAGGTAAAACTCCCAGAGTAGTAATAGAACATTTTTTGGCTCTGTTTCCATGCCTTTTTTCGCTCATGTCAAAAGCCAAAGTTTTTTGTTTTGAACTGAGATACTACTCTATAATGTTACCTTGGAAGTGTGTTTCTTACCCTTGGAATGTTTTGGAAATAGCTTGACTTAGGACACCACACTGATTTATTTTTTTTTCCAAATAGCTGTTCTAAATTGATGTCAGACCAAGTTTCTACTCTAATCAAAAATTATATATAACAAACAAGATAAATGTAACCATTTAAAATAAAAACATTTTTCATAGCTTTTGTTGCAAGGGTCTTGCAGTACCACAACCTGTGACGTCACGGGGTGGGTTTGCTCCATTGGATTAATAAAGATTATGATATTTTCGATTCTGATCTTTGACTTTTCTGCTTAGTTTGTGCAATCGTTGCTAGTAATAGATACTCATAATACCAGGGTTGGGAACCACTGCTCTTTTGGATTGAGATCTGGTGACTTATTTTAATTAGTGAACTGATTGTCATGTTCAAGAAACCAGTTTGAGATGATTTGAGTTTTCATCAGAAAATGATACACTATGGTCATAAAAGGATGGACATGGTCAGCAACAATACTCAGGTAGGCAGTAGTGTTTAAACAACGCTCAATTGGTACTAAGGGGCCCAAAGTGTGCCAAGAAAATATCACCATTATAACACCAGCAGCAGCCTGAACTGTTGATACAAGGCAGGATGGATCCATGCTTTCATGTTGTTTACTCCAAATTCTGAATGTTGCAGCGGAAATCGAGACTTGCCATTCTGGAAAAGGTTTCCAATCTTCTATTGTCCAATTTTGGGGAGCTTGTGCGAATTGTAGCCGCAGTTTCCCATTCTTAGCTGATTGGATTGGCTACCGGTGTGTCTTCTTCTGCCCATCTGCTTTAACACTGGACGTGTTGTGCGTGCAGAAATGCTCTTCTGCAGACCTTGGTTGTAACGAGTGGTTATTCGAGTTATGGCTGCTACTGTTCTATCTGCTTGAACCAGTCTGACCGTTCTTGGCTTTAACAAGGCATTTGCACTGTATTTTTTTATCTGTAAACCCTAGAGACTATTGTGCCTGAAAATCCCAGTACATCAGCAGTTTCTGTAATACTCGTTTGGCACCAAGAACCATGGCATGTTAAAAGTCATTTGAGTGAACTCTCTTCCCCGTTCCATTGCTCAATTTAAATTTAGCATGTGTTATGCCAAATGTTGATGCCTGCTACAGACTGTACGATTTAAGCAATCCTATAAGATCCTTACAAATCACACTGAACAACATGGATGGATCTAATAAACTTGGGTACGACATGTTTGTAGACTGTATGATGATGACACCTATTGAATCGTAGGCTACGATGCAAGTTAATATAGAAGAATAAAACGCCATCAGTATGCGCTAGTGGTAAACAAATAGAGCAAGATGAACCTCACTTTGGCAATTATGGTTTTTATGTGCGTTGAAAAAAGTAAGCAAAAGAGCAGAATATGGACGCGGTAACGGGAAAAGAGGCCCGTAAATTTTTAGCATCATGTTGGACAATTCGACATGTCATTGTTGCATTTTTATTGGTTAGTCAGTAGACGTAGGCCATAGCAGCAAATACACTGTGAGATGATCATGCTAAATTTCTGACACTGTCAGAAAATTATCTCGGACTATCTTTGGTCGCAAAACTGTGACAACAGCCATCTTTAAACCTCTCACTGTAAGACGTAGGACCACTGTTTAGGTGCCATGACCACAAAAAAAATCGCTGCGATTTCGTCTGGTACAGCCCAAAATCGTACAGTGTGTACCGGACAGTAAGGAGATCGTTTGCTGAGTCGCTGCCATGCAATTGGCTGATTAGATATTTGCGTTAACAAGCAGTTGAACGGGTGTATCTAATAAAGTGGCCAGTGGTACTATATAAATAGTGGTACTATTTTATTTAAATAGGAACACATTATGATAGTGTTTGTTGTACTGAATTCGAGTTTTTACAGAAATGATTGGGACTGGATCATTTTCATAACTGTATTATGACTGATAATGAGAATGACATTTATCCCATAACAATAATTTGAATTTGAGGGGGAAATTTTCTTACTTGTCATAAAAATATTGTCACAGTGGAAAAACATAATTATACCGTAAATAAAAAAACAATAATAAAAAAGACAGTTCATGACCAGATTTTAAATGTCCAACAGTCACAAAAGTTCTTAAATTTAAGTTCTTAAATTTAAATGTTCTTACATTTGTCCTCCTTTATTTGAAACATGACTTTATGAGAACACTGACATCTTAAATTGTACTTGTGAACTTATTAATCCTACCAGTTATAATCATGATTTTAAGAGTAAAAAAAAAATACTTTTTTATTTATTTTTTTTTACCATCCAAGTTCTACAATGTAATATGATTTTGCCTTTTCACACAAATTATTATTTGTCATGAGAATGTTAACTATTTTCAGGGCTGTATGGTAGATGAAGTTTAAAAATGTATGAACGGTGCCACATTGGCAGCTTTTGGGCAGAATAGAATGAAACGCAGAAGAAAATGAAACACAACAGCATTTTTACGAGCTGTTGATTCCACATTGTTACCAAGCTGTTGAAGAATAAAATATGACATATGCCATAAAAACAGTTCTAATGTTAATGCTGCTTTGATTGTGTTCTTTGTGCTCTGGATTACTGCATGCGGTCTTCACTTCTACATAGATTAAGGGAGATGCCTCCTGTGCTGAACGAGTGCATGGAGTTCCTTTCTCCTAGAGACATGGGATGAAGAATAGGCCCTACAATTAATCTTGTGTCTTATCTATGACGCATCCTTGAAGATATCAACTAGCTAGTCACGACTGTTTCTTGAAACTGTTGCCTAATGTCACAAATGTGTCGTTCAACCATGTTGGTTGATGTCATGCAGGTGGTGGGGCAATAAATTATTTTAATAAATCCGTTTGAGATTTTTTGCTATAAATTACAGACATTGAATCTGAGGTCTAATTTGCTTTATTTCTAGATCCAATCATAGGCTCATTCTTACATGCGCACTCTTCAAAAACAACAGAATAAAAATCTCTTAACATACTAAAGACGTAAATGACATTTGTATACACTCTAAAAAATGCTGGGTTGTTTTAACCCAATTTTGGGTAAAATATGGACAAACCCAGCCATTGGGTTAAAAATGTAACCCAATGGCTGAGTTTGTCCATATTTTTCCCAAAATTTGGTTACGGTAAAACAGCTCAGCATTTTTTAGAGTGTATATTCTAAATATATATTGGACTGAATGTCAGCTTGCTTATTTTGCTCAAGATTTTAAGGAATTATTAATTCCACATGTCATACAAACAAAAACTATGCTTCTAATGACAGTTCAAGAGCTGTTGTTCCAACCACTAAACAGCGATGTTTGCAACTGTTCGTTGGAACTATGATTTCGGGAAACTCTGACTCGTTGAACTATGCTGATAACGACGTAACTTGCGACTATTTGACTAACGATGCTTTTGGGAGACTACTGATCTACAACAGTCGTAAAGCAAAAAGACAAAGCTTATGAATAGAATTAAACCATACCTCTGCTTCTGGCTTCTAGTTCTTGTTCTTTTCTCTTTCATCTCTTGCACGTTTGACATTGTGTTCTACGTAGGTGGAGGTCTGCATCTGACAGACACTTGCTATAATCGAGATGAGACTCATTGATCTTTGATCTTCTGTCTCTGTAGTGCAAGTGTCTGCTTTCTGTTACATGCGCTTCCTGTGTAAAATGGTAAACAAACCTTATATTTCCTGAGTTTGCACCCAGTTGATAGGACGAATAAATGGATGGATGAACCTTGCTGCCAAGAAATATCCAGGCTAAACACTATAGATATGCTATTATTTATTGTATTTTATTAATATAACACGTTATTATTAATCGAACATAATGTTTCTACTATTTATTTGTTTTATTTACATACTATGACGCTAATTTTATACCATTTAAATTTTATTGCATTATTTTCCTGTTATCTAAAGCTGCTTGGAAATAGTCTGTATTGCAAAAGTGCTATATATAAATAGAGGTGACTTGAGTTTTTTTTTTTTTTTTGACAGGATCTTTTTCATTACTGTATCAATAATGAGAATGACATTTTTTTCTATAACAAGAATGAGGATTTGAGAGGGAAATGTCCTTGATTGTCAAGAATATATTGTCATAATGTAAAAACCTTAATATTCGACTGGCATATTTTTAAAAAAACAAATTCGCAAGGGTTATATGAATAATCTGTGACTATTCAACATGTGCTGTAAAAGCATAATGGCTACAAATATGGTGCTGGCTTTATATATTTACTAATGGTCTGGCATAGCACCATGCAATTATTTGTGGAAATGGTTCCTTTGATATAGTCGCAAGAAACCTATTCTGTTATAAATTAATAGCACATTTCCTCTACATGACTCACTGCAGATCTCATTACCTCCTACTCCATTGGATAAATGTCATATATTCATGTTAAGAGACTGAAGCCATAGATATACAGAGAGATGATTCTTTGCCAGTGCTGACGTCTTTTTAGAAACAGCTCTGGATGGGAATCATTAGGGCATGGGAAGCCTCTGTTATGCTCCAACTCTTTGCCCTTTCAGGAACATGCACAGACACTTACATAAAGAAAGTGTTTTGATTGCCCCTGAGCACCTTACACCTAAACGGTTGAACTATACCCAAGAGCTGATAAAGGATGGAAATCTGCCCTTCTCTCTCTCTCTCTCTCTCTCTCTCTCTCTCTCTCTCTCTCTCTCTCTCTCTCTCTCTCTCTGTCCTGTGAGTGAATGCGGCTCAGATCTGTCCATGAGTCCAAAATTCGCATCCAAAATTTTCGAACGTTAAAAAATAAATATGACCTCATGTTATGTCAATCACTCTTGCACAGTGCCTCAGAAACTTTCATCCGTAATAGAAATGGGTTTTAAAAATCTATTTTCTGCGTTATTCGCATCTGTAGCAAGCAGTTTTGAATGGTGTTTTTTGGACTTGGTGTGCAAAAAGAGTTTAAAAAGACCTCTCAGGATCTCTTTTATTCTTTTATTTTTAAAAAAATTTTCAGCCACTGATCTTGACTGAACTTACTTAATATTGCTTGGTTAAAATATTAATGCAAATAAATTATATACACTATTCAAAGATTTGGGTTCGGTAAGATTTCTTAATGGCTTTGAAAGACGTATATGCTCACCAAGGTTGCATTTATTTTAATCAATTAAAAAAATGTAAATAAAAAATATATATAAAAAAATATTTATATGCTGATTTGGTGCTTAAGACACTACTATTTTTGTTGAAACATTTATTCTGCTTAATATTTTTTTGGAAACTGATAATGTTTTTCAGGATTCTTTTATGTATAGAAAGTTCAAAAGCACCGCGTTATTTAAAATACAAATCTTTTGTAACATTATAAATGTCTTCTTCAATTTGTATCAATTTAATGGGTCTTTGATGAATACAAGTATGAATGTCTTACTAACCAATAACTCCTTTGTGTGTGTGTGTGTGTCATGCTTTCATAGAGATTGCTCTCTGACTCTGGTTTATATGTATTTGCTCTCTGGTTTAGATGTATTTGCTCAAAAAAATCTATAAGTTTCACGTGAGATCCATGAGATTTTGTTAAATGAGAACACTCTCCTCTGTAGTGACTGAAATGGAGGTAGGAGGCTTACAGGGAGGTTTTCATTACTTCTATTCATGCTACAATGCTTATTCATTGGCCAATTAAACCTTTGCACTCATAAAAAGCATTGAAAGCTTTTTGAAAGTACTCATCGGACTCATGGACAGATCTGAGCCAAAAAAGGTGGCTTTTTAAGTAATGATGGTCATAACCGTAGATAAATATCTTATGGGGGTGACAAATTAGCCCAATTAGACTCATAATGCGACTCATCCTTCGCTTATACGCATGGCGAGCCCCACTTACATTGAGCAAACACTTCCCTCAGGCAGTGAACAAGAGTGCTTATCCAAAGATATGCCTTATGCCGGTCACTGCATTACCGATATAAGACTTTCCTAAGATTTTTCCCAACTCACTCTCTTGAGACATTGACAAATGTCTGTTGTTATTGAAATGAGGGGTGCTGAGTTGAGCGTTGTGTTCAAACTGAGCTCCGCTTGAGTTGTATCATTAGTGGGATTGATTATTCTCTTGACGGCACTTGGTGAAAACCGAGATCCTTAAATATGCTCCAGTTTTATATGCTCAATCTAATTTCATTGTTATTATGCATATAAGAAAAATGCTCTTCTGTTGTTTCAAACTTTTTCCAAAGTTTTAAACTCTTGTGGTTTACATTAATTTTGAATTGCAAAAAGTGTAACTGTTCTAAACATATATACTATGTATGTACAGGCCATACTACACAATAAAAGTAAATGGTGTCAAATATTGTCTTGGAATCAATTATCTTTCAAGGTATGGACTATAACTGGACTATATATGTATGGAAAGTCACAGGTCTGGGATTTGTTTATTTTATCAGTGAATCATTTACATGGGGAGGTTTGGTAGTAAAGCTGCAGGCATGATACCATTTGTTCTTTTATGTTCCATGATAGGAAAACAATCCTATAGGTTTGAAATGACACTGAGTAGGCTTTAATTTGATTATAGACTTAATTTTAGGGGAAATTTCTTTTTATTTGACACTCAAAATGATTTTTAATCATCTTTGATCATTAGCAGTGGGGTCTCTCTCTCTCTCTCTCTCTCTCTCTCTCTCACACTCCCCGCAGCAGTCTCAGGAGATGGGCATCGTGACTGGCGCTGCCAGTGCAGCGAAATGTGGGTTTTTTGTCTGAAGTGTAAATAGGTGCCCAAAGGCTCACATTCTTAAAGACGACTTCACAATCCTCTAATGCAAACAAAGAAAGATCAGAGAGGATGAGAGAAACATAGTAAAGTAGACAAAACAGCACATTATTATTCTTTGAGGGATCTTTTTGTTAACAAAGACTGTTTATCAGCTTTTTGCATGTGCTTTGTAGCCATGACTAGAGTCCCAGTGCTTCATACAATGAAAATAGTGGATTTTCATTCACAACATGTTTGCCTTTTTATTTTCTCTCTGTTCCTCAGGACAAAGATTTGGACTGTAAGTTAGATGAGCTAAAACGGACAGACAGGGTGTTATCAGAGCCTCAGGTCTGTGAATGGCTCTGTCAGCTTCTGTTGGGAGTACATTACATACATCAGAGGTGAGCAGAGAACGCCGCTCCTCTTTTTCCCTGTGAATAATTCATTACTGACCTATTTTCTATTTTTACATTCAAAAGAATTTGTTTTATGTCTTTTATTGCTCGTCCTTAGACAAAAATGTGCATTGTAAGACAAATATGGCCGCAACTGAATAAAACATCTCTAAATCTTTGATTCTTGCTGCTTCGGTGTCTATTGATTCTTGTTTGTCTTGCTTAAACAGGAGAATTCTTCACCGAGATCTAAAGGCCAAAAATATATTTCTAAGGAAGAACATTGTTAAGATAGGTAAGCTCTGCTTCTCAGACCAAAGGATGCTTGATGTGTGTTTGATGTTCTTGCAACGCTTTTAGATACGACTTTTAATGACACCAAAAGCCCAAACACTGCCCATTTATCTACAAAGAAAAAGGATCATTACCCATTCAAAAAGAAAACTACGTCGGTCTAAGCTGTTCTTCTCCGAGGCAGATGATCATCACTTTTATATTTTCCATCATAAATAGGTGCATTAATAAACATGTCATCACAGCATAAAGTCACTTTTAACTAATTTCTGTGCAAAATAATGTATTTGTGTGTTCTTGTAGGATGAAATTATTCTGTACAGCAGACTCACTTGAACACTATTCTGTGCATTTGTGTTGCTTTATGTCAGTTTCTCACCTTAGCCTACCAAGATAATAGTGTTACTGTAAAAAACAATAATATCATAATATCAATTTTAGCAATATGCAAGATATTTTCAAGTTCTGGCCAAAGTGCTTAACACAACTAAAAAAAAAATATTTATGAAAAAACAATAATGATGCACAATGCATTGAGATTTTGGAGTTCTTCTGGCAAGTGTAATATACAACAACTGTCCTCAGTACCTCAGCCAACTTGTATTTGTATACTCGCTATTTGTTAAATGCATCATTTACAGTCTCCAATTAATTTGTGTCAACACAACCACATGTCTCCTTTTCAGCAGATGTTCAGTAAACAAACCAAGGAAGCTTTCATTTGTCTATTACATTTGAAATGCCTGCTTGGCTCTGAAGGAGATGACATCTTGCACAGCTTTTTGTCTCTAAAAAAATCTTGCAAACTAATGTTGTTTCATTCCATTTCTACACAGGAAGACACACATAGACACTCAACACTTACAGTAACACAAACCTCATTAGCTGTATAATCATCAAGAATATCATTAGGAAGATTAAGATGAATGCTGAACACACACACACACAACAAACTCTGATGACAACTACAGAATTAAAAGAAAACAATTACAGTGCATGTATTATTTATGCTATAAAGCATGCTGGGAATTCATAAAGCTTTTACAAATCCACAGCATCTGTCCAGTTGAATCTCTTTTAAGCTCTTTTGGGGGACAGTTTTTGGAGGAATATTTGTGGCCTAACATTCATAAATGATTCATGAGCATGTGCATGGTAACTCACAAACAATCTCAACATTCAAAAGCTTATTTGGGGCCATTATAGTAAATATTCCTCATTTTGTGTAAACTGTTTCCTTAAATTTTGCCTGCAAAAACTCTTTTTAAAAGGTGTTATGCTGATGGAATTTTTTCAAACACTCTTTTAAGGTGACTTTGGTGTATCCTGTCTGCTGATGGGGTCATGTGACCTGGCGACAACCTTTACAGGTACCCCGTACTACATGAGCCCTGAAGCCCTCAGCCACAGAGGATACGACTCCAAATCAGACATCTGGTATGAATAACTTAACCATTGAGTCATTTTAGTTCTTAACCAACCAAGACTTTGGTTATTGCATTGAATAGGTTTTACATTTGCACTTAAAGTCACTTAAAGGACACACTTGATTGAATTTATGCCTCTCATGATATTAAAACCTCTTGATCTTAAAGTCTTCCTATTATGTTATTTTAAAGGTTCCTCGTTTGATTTTTGGGGTCTCCTACAATAAATTTACCTGCATCTAGGTTGAAAAAAATACTAATGTGCCTAAGACTTTTGCACAGCACTGTGAATATATATATATATATATATATATATATATATATATATATATATATATGTGTGTGTGTGTGTGTGTGTGTGTGTGTGTGTGTGTGTGTGTGTGTGTGTGTGTGTGTGCATGTATATATATATATGTGTATATATCTTCACTTGTAACTTGCGAAGTTATTCTCTCACTCTGTCAAAACTCACAATCTTTAAAAAACAAATCTTTATGCATTATGCAAAATTGCAGGTAATGAGGTATTATGTTTGATTGCTTTTCAAATTGCGAGTTCTGGCAATACATAATAGCTGATCTTGTCAGTGTTTTTTTTTATTATTATTTTGTCATTTTAAATTGAAAAATTTACCGAAAATTGCAATCAGGCATAGTTTAAGATGTTGCCGAAAAATGTCAAGCATAATTAACATGAATTGTGATATCTGGTTGCTTGTATGCATTTATGTGTGGTAGGGCTGTAATATCAATTCATGGCATGAGACGTTTCCAAAGGCAAGGATCCCCTCCACTTACACTATAAGCTGAGATAGATATCTGAAGGGAGGGAACATGGGGATCCACTTAGAAATAAAGAAATAACAACATATTTGTACAGTAAAAAAAAAGAAAGAAACGAGGGGGAAAATGACCAGAAAACAATAAAATAGAATGAAACAGAGAGAAGAGACAATCTCATTTGCCAAACGGCTACAGGCACCTGCTGCTAATTTAAGAACCATGCGTTTTCTCACACACTCACCTCGATGTATATGTGCCACCGAGAGCTGAGGTTTCTGTTCAGACTCGTAAAGCATCCTATTGGGAATTGGACTCTTCACTCTGTGCTCTCGAGCCTGCAAGAACACAAGCACGAGACACACTGGAGGAAGGGGGTCACTGTGCTGCTTAATAGAGATAAGCTAGAGAGAATGGGCTAAAATAGAGACATCCTTGCACAAATTCTTCTTCTCTTTTTCTCTTTTGTTTCTATTCAACTAAAGTGAGATTCAACCTTTTTACTATAATGATAATTGCAAAGTCTACCAGAGTTCAGAGTGCATGTGTTTTTTACATCAGAGTTCATGTGTTTTATGTACGATTGTCACCTATGCAAACAAGTTCTGGAAAAAATAAAAAATGCAAAAAACTTGTAACCAAACAATGATTTTAAAAGTAAGCTGATCTTCACTAAAAGCTCTAGTGTATATATAACTGAAGCAATGTTTTAAAGAAGAGCAGGTCAAACTTCCTCCAGAACGATGATTGATATTGTCATACAGAAAACGATTCCTTCAACATTTTGCTGCTAAAAGTGTTTCTACAAGCAATTGAATCATAGGGTGTAGTTTGTCACCCATGGCTTTTCCATTTTGAATGCATTTCTTACTTAAAAGATGTTTTGAAGAACGTTGGTAACCAAACAGTTTTGGTTCCCATTGACTTCCATTGTATGGGGTAAAAAATCAGTGGGAGCGAATGGGGACCAGAAACTGTTTAATACTAAATATCTTCTTTCATGTTCCACAAGAAGAAAGAAAGTCATACAGATTTGGAACATCATTGGGTGGACTTTTTATTATTCTCTTTGTACAGGTCTTTGGGCTGTATTCTCTATGAGATGTGCTGCTTGGTGCATGCCTTTGAGGGGCAGAACTTCTTGGCTGTGGTGTTAAAGATTGTGGAAGGACCTACTCCATCTCTGCCAGAAACATACTCACGGCAGCTCAACTCCCTAATGCAAAGGTACCAGAAACAGATGCTGCCCTGCTCCAGGCACGAATCGGGCCCATGTCATCCCACTCCGCCAAGCTATATCTGTCCGTCTGCCCGCTTTGGATGAGTAGATAGACACAAATCAATGGCTTGTTTGATTCAGCAGTTTTCCAAAGCAGATTATGCTAAATCCGAGCAGGTTTAGAAGCAATTCAACTAGAGCTATCAGCATTTCATGAGGTCTTAAACATAATTCCCTCTCTCTCTCTCTGTTTCTGTGTTGCCAGTATGTTAGAAAAGGATTCTTCACGCAGGATCTCGGCAGCAGAGGCTCTAAGGAGCAGCTTCATTGAGCAGAGCTTGCAGGTGAGGAGATGCCGTTGATCAGATCAAACAGACAGGAGAGCATCCGACCAGCTGTTCAGAGTCTCTGTTTCAAAGGTTAATGGGAAGGGCCAGAATGCACCTGGAAGATTTTGATTGCTGGCCAAGCTCAATAGGTTTCTAAAAGTCTGTTATGCATACTCATCACATCATCGATTCGCCTTCCCATTTGACTCACCCTGTGCATAACCTTTTCAGATTGTACTGTTGAAATGTCAGTGATTGACATTGTTGCTGCCTGGTGATTGTATCGATTGTGGCTTGTCATAGTTCGCCTGGTTCCCCGGCATATATTAATTATTTTTGCCAACTTTCAGGCACATGATCAGTCTGTAAATGTATAAAAGCTCAGAACATTTCCACGAAACTTTATTTGGACAGGTCAACTTCGCTCTGTGAAGCTTAGATGCATTTGTTTTCAACAGATTTCAATCCAGTATAAATTTCTAATAATCCTTCAAGTGAGTGTATATGCCAGTCATTTAGCTGTGCAATGAATTGCCGTTTTCCAACAAAAGTGCGTCTATTTATGTATAGTTTTATAGCTGCATAATTTACAACCTGTTGCATTTTTCAATTTGTAAAATGAGGTATTTGTCGTTTTTAAAAATGAAAAATTGAAATGTTTCTAGCAGTTGTTAAAAATTCTTTTCTGATAGTGCCAGTGAAAATGTTGGCCCGACCGTGCAAAATGCAAACGGACAAATCCTTGTACTGTACTTTGAATATTAATCCCTGTAGACGGTTTATTCTCACTCTTTTTTAAAGGGATACTCCCCTTTTTTTGGAAATAGGCTCATTTTACCACTCCCCCAGAGTTAAACAGTTGGGTTTTACCGTTTTCGAATGTATTCAGCCGATTTTTTTGATATTCAGAAGAATATCAGTAACCAGACCGTTTCTGGTCTCATTGACTTCCATAGTATATTTTTTCCTACTCTGGAAGTCAATGAGACAATCTGGTTACTGATATTCTTCTAAATATCAAAAAATCGTCTGAATGGATTAGAAAACGGTAAAACCCAACTGTTTAACTCTGAGGGAGAAGTAAAATGAGCCTATTTCCAAAAAAAGTGGAGTATCCCTTTAAATCCGAATGTGATTATTATATCCTATTTTTCACAGCATTTCTCCTCATGTGTTTTTGCCTTTGTCAATTACCATAACTAAAGCTAAACTCATTTTTGCGCTGCCTGTTACGACTTCTGTGTTAAATAACAGTTGGTGGTTGAAGTACTGCTGGGATCCCATCCAATGTAAAAACTAAAATGAAATGAGGCGAGTCAAATCACAGACCGCTCAGAAGCATGCATCAGATGTGATCCTTAATAAATTCTTACCCCTAATTTTTCCCCTTATATCACATACAGCATAGGCTATATGTTTTGTTGGATGCAAGCATACAGATCACAAGACCTTCCACAACGCCCACATCCAGACAAAATGTCTTCTGTTAATAACTACAATCCCAACATCATGCAGAGATCGAATCTAATGGCTGCTTAACTTCCAAGAGCTAACTGTACATGTCATTAGTATTTTTCATCACATAAATCATCACACTGAAAATTTAATTGCTCTCTAGGCATCTAATCCCATTGATTTTTTTTTATAGCCCTTGTTTAATGCGTCTCGGATACAGTATTTGCAGTTATAGCACCCTTTCATCACTCACATTCATACTGCATTGACTTGTTTACATCAGGGCGCTTAGTAATACGTTTTTGCCTTTGGAGGCTAGTGATCCCCTAACCCCTATCTTAAAGCTCCTGGTTGGTATGTGTCTTCCACCAGCTATTACACCATCACCATCTCAGAAACATGTAATCAGAGAAGGAGAAGGCATCTAAACCACAACTCTGAAACAATACTCTCTGATGGCTTTTCCCTCCTTGTTGTGTACAATTTCCAAGGCTTTCTTCTGCCTGTGTAATTTGCGCCTTACAAATCTCGTATTGTACTATTGTGTTCGTTGCAGATTCCTCCCTGAGGATGATTATATCAGTCTTTCTACTTCCCATTCGCTCTGATTCAAGAGTTCTGAGAAATGCAACGGTTTATTCTGATTGAACACTAGCTTTGCTGCTGCTGTTTTGCTTTTTGCTTTCCTATGTCCTAAGGCAACTGCAACTTTTACAAGCCTCAGAGAACAGCATTAACAGATATTTCATCTCTTTTGCTATTTTTCTCACTACAGAGCATGAAAAACAAGTTCTTTAGCCTGACACTTCGAGACAAGTCGATGGAGGGAGAGAGAGATGCATCGCAGGTCCTAAGAGCACTGTAAGTGAATCCACACTGTAACAAGTCCCAGAGAGAAAGAGACATTTATAGGCAGTCTCACTTCTCTGTTCCTGCAAAGATGCTGTCAGCTGAGAAATGCAGGGATCTCTGGGAACAGGGCTGTTTTTGTGTTGTTGCTTTTTTAAAATCCTTTTTTTTTTTTTTTTTTTTTTTGCCATTTTCACACAATCTTGCTGGAGGGACCTAAAAATGTACAGTAGCTGTGTTGCTGCTGCGTACCCAGTGTTTGGAACATGTTAATCGGGTGGCAGTCTATGAGCTGCAGACTTTCATTCATTCGCTTTCCACACTAATTAAAAATGATGTCACCATAGCATATGCCAGTCATAGTTATCTATGACCTAGTGGAAATCCAAGCAATGTTAAAGCCAACAGAGCATGGCAAAATCAAACAAGCGCAGTTTATTGATTCTTGAGTACTGGGACATAATAGGTTTCAAAATTGAACATTACCGTTTAAAAGTTTGGGGTCAAGAAGTTTTCAACATTGATAAGAAGAAATGTTTTACTAAATCAGTTTCTAAAGGATCATGTGACACTGAAGACTGGAGTAATGATGCTGAAAATGCAGCTTTGAGTCACAAATAAATTACATTTTAAAATATATACAACTAGAAAATAGTTATTTCAAATTGTAATAATATATCACAATATATATTTTTGATCAAACAAGTGCAGCCTTGGTGAGTGTAAGAGACTTGCATTAAAAACATGAAGAATAAAAGCTTGCCAACTCCAAACCTTTCTACAGTAATGTCATGTAATTATTTTTCACTGATGTTCAGTGTTTTGTTTCAAGTGCACCAACAAATCTAGCATTCACTTTCCATGTCGCACATGTATTAAATGCAGGATCCATTTCGTTTTTTTGGGTGTTGTTACAAGTCACCTGTTTTTACTGTATATACCGCTTTTTACAATACAGATTGTTTCAAAGCAGCTGTGAATCTCATGATTCATGAAATTCATGATTCATGGCCGCATTCGTGACTCTCCTGTTCGAACTTTTCGTTGAATGAACCAAATGACACGAAAAAAGATTCGTTCATTTTGATATAGAAAGAATGACATGGATATCTTGGATGACATGGGAGTGAGTATATTATCAGCCAAAGTTTTTTAAAAGTGAACTACTCCTTTAACGTTACTACAGTAGTTTTAAAAACAAACGACAGGCACAGAGCTTAGCTATTTGCATAAGGCTATATGCAGCCTTAAACTGTACTGAGAATCTGACTGAACCTTTTGCTCATTAGCTTTTTAATGCTGTTCTAGTATGCCTGGTGTCCAAAGACTGCACACAAAGCATCGGAAGCTGTCTAACACAACTTCTCATGAATAACCTAATGATATACTTTTTCTTGTTTGAATTCTGCTCTTCTTTTTTTTTTTTTTTTTGAATTAAAGAAATTCCCTATTTCTTTTGAAAATGCATGCTCTGATCACACAGTCCAAAAAATATCTGTAAAGTAAAGGAGTAGTCGTTAGTCATTTAAGTAAATGCAGTCCTTGAAACCCCACAGGCAGAAGAAGGTACATCTGCAGACACTACGGGAGAGATCAGAGGTGCAGAAAATGAGCCCGAGAGAACGCATGCGGCTCCGGAAACTCCAAGCAGCAGATGAGAAAGCACGAAAGCTAAAGTGAGTGACGTTCAGTGCACTGACCGTGGTGTCACACTGAATGTTAATCAAATGCGACTCCTAGTTCATATTCCATAAGGTTAGCATGAGTGACAAGGCTTTTCTGTTATCATGGTGGGAGGATTTTTTTGGCAGATTGAAACACGTCAGCTCTAGTTATTACTTTACAATATTATTTCATTTGTTAACATTAGTTAAAGTTTTGCCAAAAAGTTAAACATTTTTAAGTGAACTATGCTAGTTACATATACTATAAAAAAGTTATAAATGCACATACTTGTATTGTCTTACTATAGGAAAATTGTGGAGGAAAAATATCAAGAAAACCATCTTCGCATGCAAGAGTACAAGTCAAATTTTCAGAAAGTCACTGTGGATGTTTTAAAGGTATATAGGATTCCTATCTGACATTATTCATAATTAACAGATTTGAAATCACGGCTTCAATTTGTTTCTATTATATTTGTCTTTCTTTCTTTTTTTTAAAGCTTTTTAGATTGAGAGAAATAGGAAACTAAGATATACATTCGACATCCCTGAGCAACTTTTGGTAAAGCATTTGTGTTTTTACATCTTTTTTTTTCAAGGTGAAAAATGAAGGAGTTAACAGGACTCAACCGATTCTGAGTGAGACACCAAAAGGAAACTCAGAACCGACAGGAACCATTTCTCATCTCTCTAAGATGTGCAAGTCTGAGTCCACAGACCATGGTAAGTTGTATTTCACTGCAACTAAAGGTCAAATGGAAGAAATCATTGCTCTGGGTTGACACCTGAGCTGGCAATAACCAAAACCCAGGGTTAAAAGCATTGATTAACCCTCTTCCAGAATCATAAGAGTGAAACATTGCATTTCCAAAGGTTAAAAGTGGCCACAGCCTAATAAGACGATTACCCAGGGTTAAGTGTGGCAAGAAAAGCTCTTAATTTGGAAAAGATTTTTTACCCACACATTGTTCAATTAAACTCCCAGAAAGTATATTAATTAAAGCAATCTCCCCTGATACTTTTCTCTTGCTTTTTGAAGTCTATTATAAAACGTGTGTCTGATGGAATGCCACCATCTCTTCCAAATCAGAAAGTTTAACTTTCCATCAGAAATTACTTTCTCTTTCTTCTACATCTTCATTAAAATTCATTGTGTGCTTGGCGCTCCAGTGCCTCTTTCTCCATGGTTTAACAAACAACAGATCCCAGAACAGAGCGAGGTACCATGAGTATTACACTGCACTGTCAAACACACGCATATTTAAAAGAGATAAAAAATATTCCATTTCGATTTGAAAGTCAAATGATTCCTAGATGTTTTAATGATGTTCCACCGCTCAGATTTATCAGAGTAGACGTTGCCTGCCTTTATGAACAAGTAAGGAAAATTGGAGAAGAAATGAAATGGGCAGTTTAGTTTCACCCCTTAATGGAGTTAGGAACTCAAGCCTGTGAACGGTTTCTGCTGGTATGCTGCTATTTCTAGATTTATCCAGATCTCACTCTACATCAGAGATGGCCTTCTACATTAGAATAGCTCTCATTAATCAAGACACATTCTAAGACATTCACAATCTTTTCTAAGTATAATATCTCACAATCATGTGCATGTGGTTTAGCAGTTGAAAGTGGCGTCTTATGGATCAATTTAATCAGATTTATGAATTAATTAATATGTTTGTCGGTTCGCTTCCAGTTCTTCTAAAAAAGATAACTTGTCCCCTTCTGATGGGTACTCATTTGCTTCATTGATCAATCATACAATCAGCTTAACTTAATATTTTTGTGGAGGCCATAACCAGATTTTTAACATGTTTGTGATTTTGCATTGGCTGTAAAATACCGATACCAATCTTGCATAATGCTAGTTTTCAATGACTCATTCTCTTACCACCGTCATTATATGCATCAAGGGAAAGATAAGTTATGACCAAAACGTCTCCTTAATCGGGTTTTGGAATCATTATGATAAATCTCAGAAACGTGTTTTGAGAGCCCTGAGAGGTTATCTATCAGTTCCTGGCTCTAATCACTTTAGGTCCCTCTTTAAATGAGATGTTTTAAACGAGTACAGAGCCACAGCTGTGCTCTTAGACGACTCGGGGAGGATCCACACGGCGTGATTTATCGATAGGACGCCGGGGTGCAATCACTGTGAATCTGAAATGTGGGTTTGTCTGAAATATTGTATGTTACTGGGAATATTTGGGAAAGAAAATCGTGCAAGTAGTGGATTTGTATTATTAAAAATGAAAGAAGTGATGCACTGTGTCTGGGTTTGAGACTAATGGAGTCAGGTCTTTTGTCCTTATTAGCTGATTTGTTTTTTTTTTTATCTAGCTTCCGTAATCATCTCGAAGGCAAGGAAAACTCATTGAATGAATAATGCATAATTAATGATAAAAGCATAATTGTGTGCATGTTTTGTATAGTTTACTTAAAGTCGCCCAGCAGAAACACTGAGCGGGTTAACCCAGCTACATCATAAACAAAGTTAAATGCTCTTCTAGGATGGTATATTTATTCTGATATCATTATTTGACTTCTCTCGTCACTTTGAGAGTTCATAGTTTCATATTTGCATATGGTTCAAGGACGTAGACGGCCCATTCTGATGATCTTCTTGAGTTTTGGAGCAAATAAACATACGGTCTGATTCTGCTCATGTCTGTAGATAAACTATAATGACTACACCAGGGACTTCCATGCCTTGGAAAGATGCCGTTCAAATGAATAAGCTCTGACAATTAGCACATTATGAGCAAACCTTGTCAGCTTAATTGTCTCCAGCCTGTAACCGGCTATCTTTAAATTGTTTGCATACATCACTACTGTTAGTATTATTAATTAGTATTCTGGTGTAAATAGAGTACATACTGTATAATAGAGTACTACATCAAATGAATTTTCTATTTAAATAGCAGTTCACAATGAGATGAAGACCATCCATCCATCAATCCTTGCTCATTAATAAAGAATTGAGTTGATATTTGGTCACAGATAGGAATAACTTTTTTACTGGTTAATAATCACTTTTATAAACGTCTTTGTTTCTGAACCTTTATGGCCTTATTAAAATGTCAGATTAAAATTCATCTGGTAAAGGTTAGCCATTATACCAAAACCCATTATAATCCGCGGGTTTGGTATACTTATACCATTATACCATATACCAAACCCATTATAATCCGCGATTCTGTCTACACTGGATGTGGCGCGACACTACGCAACAAATCCCTGACAGTAAACTGACACAACATTCAGTTTAACATAATCCAAGTACACTTCTCACACTACTTGTGACACGAAGGGTAAATGGATTTACAATTGTTGTGTCCGCTATTGACAGTGTAAGAGTCATTTGCTGGGCAAATATTGGGAAAACTAGACCCCAGTAAGTTCTCTTACTATTTGAGTGTAAAAAAAATGGCTAGAAAACAGCTAAGCAGTTTGTGTTATTAACATCGCTAATTTGAATCAAAAAAGTTAGGAATCGGAGGGTTCTCTTCCAAAGGGGTTTTCATTTATCTTGAACATTTATCATTTAAATGTGATTTTAATGGACTCTAAAGGTAAAGGATGACCCACAGTCCTCTATTTAAGAACAGACTTCTACAATGCTTGGCAAACTACAACCTAAAGTTCCCCACAAATGAGCATAAATCCTCCTAGAAGTGGATACACATTCTTTGTGTGTGGATATTTCTGTATAAAACAGACATAAACAGAGTCAATGAGGCAGGACTGAGGTTTGAACACATGCTCATTTGAAATGTCACAGAAGCTTCCTGCACAGTGATCCAGTAGAATGCGCTTTCTGCTTTTTGTCATGACTAATCCTCTTTACTGGATAAAACAGATCTGCAGTGTTGTAAATATGCTAAATTGCAGGTTGCTCTTTCATTGGGGGGCAGCAATTTAGTAGTTTAGACAGGCCTGGAAAACAGAGGATGGTTTGATCGGCCACCGGTTTCTCGGCTTATTAAATCACACACAAAACATTCGTGAAAATACATGCTAATGAATGGCTGTTAATAAAGAAAGCAAGATGGTGCAGTTACATCCTCTACCAGCAGAGGCTAACTGGAACGTGCTAACCAGCCGTTCTATTTGGAGGGTGTGCATGTTATCCCTGGTTGTTGGTCTTGTAAGGTGGATGTTCAGGCGATGCAGGTGTAAATGCGCATGCTGATGCATTGCTGTTCTCTTTCAGGCCGAAGGATAGTGCTCAGTTGGAGAGCTCTACAGAAGAAAATGAAACTGTTGAGATTGTGAATAGGAAACCCCATAGAGTAAAGTACAGTTTAACAGCCCTCTCTTGCTCCCTCCATCTCTCCTGCCATCTTTGTGTCTGATTGTGGAGGTCCAGCCGCTGGCTGCTGTCTGATAGAATCAGATTGGTCTCAGGCCCAGGAACTCATGTGTGTCTGAGAGGTTGTCTGTGTTCATTTGTTCACAGAAGGTATTCTGTAAGTTATTTTCTGTTTCAGAGCTAAAACTGGCAGTGATCCATTCACACCTGGGTGGATGCCAACAGCTCTAGTAATCAAGCAGAAAATTTGTTTGTGTTAATGATAGAGGCTACCTGTCATTTCAACTCATTGCTCAACCATTTCGAGTATCGGTTAAATCTTTGCTACCTTTTAATCGTTTCAGCAATCCCAGAGGATCCTCAAGTGGCAGAGGCATTTTATTTCGTGGATGAATTTGAGTCATGCTCGGAGGCAGATTCAGATGGAGAGGAAGACTCGGAGGATTATCTCCCCACAGACCCTTCCTGTCAGACATGTGGACAGGTGAGGAGAGATCCGCCGCCGGAGAGACACTCCTGTCAATCAGCTTGTGTGACTGTGTGATATTTACATTTAAAGATGTCTCCATAAATTGTACGCACTGTAATTAGAGTTTTCATATGAGATCTGTCAGCAAAACTATAGACCCTTTTACGTTTTTTGTGGGCGGAGCTTAGGTGGAGGCAGAAAGATCCCTCTGGCCGCTTCACTAACGCTAGTTAGTAAGGATTGTTAGCTTGTTTTTTAACAATGACTGGAGAAAATCCGATATTATCTTTTATGTGTAAGGTCACTCAGTCTCCAGGACCGCGATTGTTATTTCCAAAAGTTATTTTTAACGGACTGAACCAGATTGGCCGACCTGTAGCCGCCTACACGCTCACTCAATGCATGGATGATCTGACAGGATTAACGTACGTTACCTCGGTTGAGTGGCCTGACTTCTACACCTACCTTATAGAGAAACCGATCAAATAGAAACTGAGGGCATATAAATCTTTAGATGCCTATATGGTCCTGTACAAGACTCGTGTGTACGATCCGCAGTTCTGCCGAGCCAGCGCCGAGACCACGACAATGTAAAGAGTGACATTACAGTGCGATTTTAATGTTGTGAATATTTTCTAGAAATAACAGTTACAGATACAGCATATTCATTTTTCATCAGTTCCTGCACCAAACAACACAACAAGATGGCATTTAATAATAGTAACAATAATTTAAGCTCCTTATTATGTAGCCGAATCTGTGCTGTTTTGGCCGCCTCCAGTTTTCACTTTGTTTTGCCTCCAGCTAGCGCCGTGACGTAACTGTGACGTCGGCGCAAAAGGGGTCTATAGAGTTTGGCATAAAGAATTTATTTAGGCAATTTGGCATAACAGTGGAATGAACGTTCAAGTTGTCACCCTTTTTTTCCAAGAGTGACAGTGGGGAGAACGAGTATTTGATACACTGCCGATTTTGCAGGTTTACCCACTTTCAAAGCATGTAGAAGTCATTTTTATCATAGGTACTCTTCAACTGTGAGTGATGGAATCTAAAACAAAAATCTAGAAAATCGCATTGTATGATTTTTAAGTGTTTTATTGCATGACATAAGGATTTCATCACCTACCAACCAGTAAGAATTCTGGCTCTCACAGACCTGACATCAATGATCACGAGGAAGGTGAGGAATCAGCCCAGAACTACATGGCAGGACCTGGTCGATGACCTGAAGAGGGCTGGGACCACAGTCTCAAAGAAAACGCCGTCAAGGATTCAAATCCTGCAGCGCACGCAAGGTCCCCCTGCTCAAAGTTTGCCAATGACCATCTGGATGATCCAGAGGAGGAATGGGAGAAGGTCTGATGAGACAAAAATAGACCTTTTTGGTCTAAACTCCACTTCTGTGTTTCGACAAAGAAGAAGGATGAGTACAACCCTATGAGTAAAATAAGACACTTTAAAAAAAACATAAAAAAACATGGTGGATCGAGTAAGCTCATTCAACCACTCAGTCCCGTTTACCCCAGTGGAAAATATATGTTTGGAGGAGTAACAGTTACAAGGACATTTTACCTGGGAAATTTAGCTGAGAATGTAGTAACAAGAGGAAATGTTTAATTTGGAAAAAGGTTGCTACGACAGGCAACAACGTTAATCTGACCATTGAGTAGAGTGTTAAAGACGTACAGAAAAGATACAAATACATGGTACAAGATGTCAAAAGAGGAGGAAATATGCCAAAACGGAAGGTGGACACCACTAAAATGGTGATGAATATACATTAGGGGTGAGGGCCATTTTTTTCCTTTTTCTTTTGGCTGTTTGTAATGTTACTGATTGTTAATGCTGGTTGCCAAGGTAACAGAGGCTTTGACCTAAGTTAGCCTGTTAGGATCTGGTGAAGGTCTGTATGGAGGAGTGGACCAAAATCCCTGCTGCAGTGCAGTTTGTTAAAACCTGGTCAAGAGGAAACATTTTGATCTCTGTAATTGCAAACACAGGTTTCTGTACCAAATATTAAGGTCTGCTTTTCTGATGTATCAAATACTTATGTAATGCAATAAAATGCAAATGAATTACTTCATCATACAATATGACTTCTACATGCTTTGTAAGTGGGAAAACCTGCAAAATCGGCAGTGTACTTGTTCTTGTTCTCCCCACTGTATGTTAATACCATATTTTCTTTCTATCCTCAAGGTATATCCTCAAGTATCCTCTTTTTCCTTTCAGTATCTTTTTTAATTATTCACACGAAACTCAAAGACACCCTCAAGTCGTAATAAGCTCTCATTGACAGGATCATCTGTTTATGAAGCATGGAATAAGATGAATTTAGTCATATCTCACAAGCACTCAAGTCCACAGATAATGGTTAATGTACAAGTAATATGATGCCACTTGTCTGCGGTATTAAAGTCCGGATTATGCAAATGCATTTTCCCCATAGAAGGTTTCTTAACCAAGCTCAACCTCATTATTGCAGATACTTTGTAGTGCTGGAGTTCAGTTGCACAACAGCAAACAAATACGTTCAGATCAGGTGTGATAGAGCCAGGGGCTCATCTGGACTCACAAGAGATCACAAACTGCCTCAGTCAGCAGACTCTTAAAACGGCAATCCAATACCAGGCTTCAGCACGATTCGATCAGGCCAGCCGAGAATAGATTAAAACTATTTGTCACCATTGAGAGAAAGGGGAAAAAAAACTTTGAACCGAGATGGTATAAGTATAAAACCTAAGGAGAGAGTGGAATAGACTTCTGCCCCAGTGGATATTTGATAATTAGCTGGCTCACAGTGAGAGTGGAGCTTGTGGTATTTGTGCCGCCAGTCATGGCCGGGTGAGATTCCCCGGAATGGAGGACAGAGGAATTGCATTTTGTAAATAGCTGCATAATATGTAGCTGGTCCTTATGTGACGGTAATTTTTCTTCTATTCTCATTTCAATGTTTTGCACAGATGGCATGACTTGATACCCTTGAACTGCCCAATTCCCTTTCTTTCATACGCAATGAATTTGGCCCTTTCTTTAACAATATTTTTGCTATCCTTTTCTTTTTCGGCTTTTTTCTTTTTGCTATACTTTTCAAATATATTTTTATGGTTTTAATCCTTATACCAGACCAGACTTTTTATGCTAAAATATGAAACCCACCATCAAAATATTTGATTTTTAAAACTGACAGTTGAGGGAAATAACCATGAATAATTTTCATATTTTTTTTGTAAACAATTATTTGTTAAAGGGGTCATGAACTGGCTTTTTAAATTTCATTATATTGTTGTCTGAGGTCAGCTTATGACATTCGCTTGGTTTTTACATTCAAAAACATCAAAATGTATAAGTAATAGGCTATTTTCTACTCTAGTTTTGAGCCTAGCTCAGAAACACGGAAGCTCAGAATATTTGGAAGTAAACACCCACTGCTGTGAGTGGATAACAGTTTTGCAAATTATAATGAGTTTCAACTCACTCGTTGGTGCACTTGGGGGAAATTGTTTTGAAGACTTCAAATGTTGTAAAATGGCAACCGGAAGGATTCGCCCATACATGTTCAACCCAGAGTCCGTGTGTTGCACCATTCCTGTCAGATCCAATATAGATGGCACAGCACCGTTCTTTAATGTTAATCGGTCTGCAAATCCAGTCTTGTTTACAAAACAATCCTCAGTGAAATGAAGCGAACAGACGGACAATGTTTTACCCTCATCAGCTGGAACGTCATTAAAAATAAAGTTTAACCATGCAGTCCTATTGGAATCCAGAGGAAGCATATGCAGCAACTGTCTTCTTCCACAACCAGGCACTGCACAATATTTTGTATTGCTCGGTAGCTCGATCCGGTTTGTCATCATGAGGTAGGCCTATGTTATTTATCTATGCGTGTAATGCATGAATCGGTGGGCGGGGCTAAACCGGCCATGTTGAAGTAGGCGTCGATCTTCTTCTACGGGGGGTGGTGTTTTATCCTCTTTGACATCATAGTTCCCCACTTTGAAAAAAAGCTTTTATTGGACTAACAAGGACGTTTTCAGTACTGAAACTTACAGGATATTCTTATAATATTAGATTTCTCGAAAAAAAAATTCTAGAAAATTTGATTTCTCAGTTCATAACCCCTTGAACTTTTACAGTTGTTTTTGTATAGTCTTGTATATTAAATGTGCATAATTTCCAATCAAATGTTAAAATATACAATAACAAGATAACAAGAATAATAATTAGTATAATATTATTAGCGGTATTATTATTACATTTTTGTGTATTTTGGGGTATAATCAGCCATTTATTCCAAAAATATCGTAAAAATTAGAATTTGATAAAAATGTTCCACTATTTTTTATTTAAATAGTGAGGGTGTGAATATAGGACTTTATTTTCTAAAAGTCTACTAAGGCAAAATTGCCATTGCTGAAGAAACACCTAATTATGTTGCTGATGGAACTTTAGTCCTTCTTCAGACTCAGTCTGTATGTTCCTTGAGACTTTCATCAACAACCGGAAGGCCTCAAGGGAGTAAAAACATTCAAGTTGTCTTTATCATGGTGCCACTTCCTCCCTCCAGGTCATGCTATCATTACAGATAGGAGGCCTGTTAATCCCAAATGGTGTTTATAGACCTGCATTTCAAGACTCTTGTGTGGCTAGACTGTCATTAGGGAGTCAACAGAAGAAACCATGTTATTTCCACTAATATTATAATGTTTCTGTAAGTAGGCATTGTGTTTCAAGCATCCATCATACATCACAGTCTGAACATTTGACCCCTTCACGTGTGTTCTTGTGTATCACAGGACAGTGACCTGGAGGCCATGATCAGACACATGGAGAATGTTCTGGATGTTGACTCAAATGGTGAGTACGGCTTATGTTACTGTTCATTCCACACAAGAAAATGTATTGGTTAGGCATGACTACCAAACAATACAACCACACTGGCAGATACACTCCATTACCAAAATGAGATATATAGCAAATTTCTCCAATACTGACTGGCCAATTACATGAGAGGTCAGTGAACATACACAAAACTGCCTACTGAAGGTCACAGGCCTGTAAAATTACACTTCTTCTAAAGACATGCGAGCATGCTCATTTAACTCCATGCACATTGAGTGAATGATCCATTTGCTAGATGCACCCCTCTCAGTGCGTGATATCGAGTTTTTTTCTTGTTCCTGATGACTCTGGAGTGAGAATGTCAGGAAGCCTGTTTGTCTGCCACTTAAAGCCATGGCGACATTGATTAGGTAATTCAGTGAAGGCTATTTACAGGCTCTGACCACATCCGATCAGTTCTGTGCATGTCCTCATCGAAAGAACTGGAGTATTTCTGTTCAAGTCTCAGTTTCTTTCCTGGTTTATTTGATCTTCTTAGGTTCCAGATGCTTTATAAAAACTGACATCCTGAACCACATTGACATCCATTTTTTAAAATCTTTTTTTTTAATAATGCACTATTTCATCAATTTTTATGTCATTTAAAACCAAACAAACTTGTTTGGTTTGAGAGGTGTGCATTTCTTTAAAAGAAACGCCACTTTTATCAAATACAATGGCATTCATACATTTCGAAGTGTGGCTTAAGTGAACAAATGCTTTTTTGGGCCACTGTGAATGAGTATTTGTATTGCATTTGTTTGTGAGTGTGTTGATATGCATTCTGATAACTTCACTCCTCAATAGTCTGTATGTCAAAGTATTTTAGATACATTTCTAAATGCTCATATCAGGCCATATTTTTTGAAAAATACTATTCAGCAATCCTCACTTCTGAACTTATCTGCAGAGTTACATAAATGATAGCGGCCGGTGTTAGGGCAGTGCATGATGGGTAATATCAGCCCAGCCCAGGGTTGATCTTTTAGACTCAGTAAGAGAAGAAACACTTTTCTAAGCTTATGTCCTTTCTTTCTTTCACCAGGCACCTTGTCAAGACAATGAGTTTCAGATTTGTTCAGCCATACCAAAAAGAATGGATAGAAAAATAGTTTTTGTGGCTCAAACTCAAAGTGGGAAGCAGTAGATTTGATTTCAGGTGGTGCATTCATGTCGAACCGTCTGACTAAATGGCACTTCATAAGATGGATTTATGTGTACTTTTAATGACAGGTCAAATATAGTAACAAAGTGGTGCACACAGTGCTATTCATTTTGATTATGCTTGCCAAAAGACCAACAGTGACATTTATGCACACAAACACACAGTTGACATACACAACACAATGCACAAGGTGCTTTGACACATGACTTCTGTGTCCCCTCATCACCTGCTGACTTCTCAAACACTCACACACAATCTGGTTTGGTTTGCTGAACCGTAAAGCTCATGTCACTGTGGCTGACAACTCAGAAATGCAGCTTTCTGCTTGAGCTCCACTTTCACATCTCTGACTTCATACAGCCCTGGTCTACATAATAGTGTAGCTAAAACTTTACCAAACCTTCTGCTTTATGTACTTGTGTAAAATATCTTCCCTTGGTACCCATTGTCCCCTATTATTCTCTAATAGCTATAATGTCATGTATGTCGTAAACTATAATATTCTGCCGTGAAAATTGACTTTTTTTATAGATTTAGATTTGCTCATAAAAATTCACAATAAACCTGAAAAATATGTTCAGATAAACACATTTATTGCTCTGAAGTAGATCTGCTTTTGATTTTCTCTTTTTTTTTAATTATATTAATATTCTACAGTTTTCATGCATCTTAGACAGTTTAGGACTGTTATGTATCTCTGTGATAAACTGAATCAATAAGGCAGCTTCCTTTAGTTTCAGACCCATTCAATTTTTATATAGTCAAACTAAAATGTATTCAGACACCTTCAACATTTTTCACATTATCACAGTTTATTCGTTATAGTTTAAAAAATGGCAATACAATATGAAAAGAACTCAAAGTTTTCAAATCAATATTATTTCACTGGTTTTGGCCATCCTTCTGTTAGACTGTCTCAAAAAATGAATTAGGTTGAATAGCTGTGATTTAGATAATAGACAATATAATTACCGGTATACCAATTTAGGTCAACCAATTACCAACCAATGCTTAATTTTGTTCAGATGTAAAAAGGTTGCATTAACAATTAAAGTTAAGCAAAACATGGTCGGGTCAAAGTGTCTGAATAATTTTTGGTCCCAAATTTTTATACATTTTACTGGTAGTCCACTGAATGATGAATTTTTGGGTATAATACTGTCACATTTTACTTTTATTACGCTATCCTCGCTTAAAATGAAGTGTCCTGCACCCACTAGTTAAACAATATACTTAATATCTGGTGTCTGAAAAATTTTTGGTTTCACTGTACATACGCTACTGTTAAAAATTGGATTGATAATATTTTTAATAATTGTAAGATTCTAAAAAAAAAAAATGTTATGTTCACCAAGGCTACATTTATTTAATCAAAAGTAAAGTTAAAACGAAAAAGTGATTTTCTTGTTTTAATATATTTTAAAAGGTGATTTATTCATGTGTTCATGTGATGGCTGAAGTTTCAGTATCATTACTCCAGTCTTCAGTGACACATGATCCTTCAGAAATCATTCTAATATGCTGATTTGCATGTTAGCGAAACAAGAAACATTTCTTATTATTATCAATGTTGAAAACAATTGTGCTGCTTAACATTTTTGTGGAACATTTTTCAGGATACTTTTATGAAAATAAAGTTCATAATAGTTGAAATAATAGTTGAAATTGAATAGTTGAAACTATACTTTTAGTCCACCTTATTTTGCAACAGAAGTAAGCTATTTTCTCTGAATGTGCTTGACTTCTGTTTTATTAGCCGCATTACTATTAGTAGAATAACATTGAAGTAAATGGTAAAATTGTTTGCACTACAAACCAGTGTGTTTATAATTATAATGATAAATTTAAATAATATGATAACAAATATCAGTTTGCAATAGCAAGCAGCATAATAATCTTGAAGGGGATGAAACCTAGAGACATGCGCTCTTAAAATTAAATGGAAAGGGGTTCCATGAAAGAAAAGGGATGAGAAAAGATGTTGGGCATAAAATATGAAGTTGGACATTGTTAACTAAATGGACGCTGATCTGAATGCCCGTTTGCAGTCGGTTGTGGAGGATATTTAAGGATGTTTCCCATCCTATGCTGAGACATGTCATGAAGAGAACCAATGTCGTTTCAAGAGGGAGGGGAGGTTAAGAAGATTAGTGGAAGATTACAAGAGTATATGATATTTTATTTTTTTAAACAATGATGTACACAGATAAAATATTTATAATAAACATTGCTACATTTTGTAAAAAAAAATTTAAAAAAAAATTGTCCATTTTGATTTCATAGTAACTGTAGGTCCAGAAACATAATTCAGACAACTGAAGTCAGTCCAAACGTTTGTCTGATCATGTATATTTTGTATGTTTCAGGAGCTGAAGCAGAGGAAGAGAAGGCTCAGCTGGGTTTTCTGGGAATGAGTAGCATCAATACCTCCATGGCCGAGGGCAGAATAGAGCGGATGAGACAGTGAGTGTTTCATCCTTGACTTGTTCACAACCATCACCTGTAAAAGTTTCTTTCATTCCCCAGGCACCTCACAATGAGTTTTGTTCACTAAAATTAGCATTTACCATGCATGCTCAGAAATTTATTGACAACCTATCCTTGATAAAGCTGTTTTTCATCATTCCGATTGTGTCCATGTAAACTTAGCTGACTAAATCCGCAATTTCGACGATTTGGGTGAACCAACGATTCAATGAAGAGAGCCATTTCATTACTGAATGAAACAGCCATTTAATGAACGACTCAATTACTTACTCATTTAGACATTTATCACCACCTGGCAGTTTTAGTTTCTTATTAAGAGTAGGCTATCATATCATATCAATTCATTTCCATATTAGTTAAAAGGTAAAAATTCTGCCATCATTTTCCCACCCTCATGTTATTTCAAACCTGTACGACTTTCTTTTGCATGATATAAAAAGACATTTTGAAGAATGTTGGTAACCAATTTTGGTTACCATTGACTTCCATTGTATGAGCAAAAAAAGTTGGTCATACAGGTTTGAAAAGTCACTTCGCTTTATGAGCCCCATTAAAGACCACAACTTTACATATAATATAATCCACCTGCTACTGCAGTCAGCATATTGTCTGACGCCATTCTGTTTTTGAATCTGCTTTTCTTGCTCCAGAAGCTCCTAAATCCCGTCCTGCTATTCTCCTGTCCCTAAAGCCTGAGTGTGATCTTTACAGGTCCAGGCAGATTTGTGGCTCAGAGCAAAAACCAGCATGAGCCAAGTGCTGAACTCCACCAATGATTTATCAGAAATAGTGGAATAGATCTATCAAAGTGCATCACCCATAAATAAAATGCATTTTAAAAAAGGCCATCAAAACTGTAGCGTTGGTTCTTTATTGTTTTGGCAATGTTAATTTAGCAGTTAATTTGACTTTGTCATTTCCTTTTATTTCATTTTTCGTAAAATTGCATTAGATTGCAAGGGAATCTTCTGGTACCAATTTCCTTTTTGTATATCACTGTACTACATGTGATTCGATTAGCATTATATGAGCATGGAATGAACATTATATGAGCATTATATGAATTCAAAATTAAATTTAGGGGCCTCTGAACAGCATTTCCTAATGTGAACAAATGTCTGAAAGCACAAAAAATGCATATTTATTGGTCTTTCTGTACACTGTTGTATATATCAATATATGCGCCTGCTGTGTTAGAAAGCCAATAATCTTGCTATCTCCACCCTGTGGTGTATTTAGCTATATGAGCTTCTGCTTGCAATGTCATTTGTGATGCATGCATACAGATAATTTACTGTCTTTCGGGTTTTGGGCACAGATGCTTCTCCATTTTCTTCAGCTTCTTTTCTCATATCTTTTTCTCCACAAAGCTTATTCTTACTGTCTTTATTCTCTCCACTAGAGCTGCAAATTATCCTGCTAAAGTTTGGGGTCAGTTAGATTATTATTGTTATTTATTTTTTAAAGAAATGATTACTTTCAGATATAGCTATTTCTATTGATTTTTGAAGGATCACTGAAGACTGCTGAAATTTCAGCTTTGCCATCACAAGAATAAATTACATTTTAAAATATATTAAAATAGAAAACAGTTATTTTTATTACAATAATCTTTCACAATATTACTGTTTTTAATTAAAAAAAAAAATCAAATAAATATAACCTTGGTGAGCAAAAGCGACCCCAAACTTTTGAATGGTTTTGTATTTTCTTTTATAAAGATGGAATTACACTAAACAATGAAAAATAAAAATATCTAACCATCTAAAATATTATCTGGAAAATATTTAGCTTCTATTTAGTAGACACTGCTTTTTTTTTAAAAAAAAAATTATTTTTTGTACCGACTATCAGAGAAAATAGACGCTATTGATATGGCTGTCAAAAGAACAAAATTGAAAATTCTATAAACTTCAAACTTATTAACATATATGAAATGTATTATCTAAATTTTTTTTTTTAATTTTTTTTTTACATTTTAATATATTTTAAAATGTAATTTATTCTTGTGATGGCAAAGCTGAATTTTATGTAAAAAAAAAAAAAGAAAAAGATTGCTATGGCTGTCAAAAGAACAAAATTGAAAATTCTATAAATTCAAACTTATTAACTCATATTAAATTCATTAACTTTAACATTTATTTTATTATTATTATTTTTTTTTTTACATTTTATGGTTCCGGACCCCAGTTTGAAAAACCCTGTCCTAACGTACCATACAAAACCATACTTTTCTATTCCATATCACTGTGTACCATTGCACATTGTACTTTTGCATCCCAAAACAAACCGGACTACTCTGTCCATTCCCTGCTGTGCTGTTCGGTTCCACACCTCACTATACTCCAGTATCTGTATCAGCTTGGTAGACTGTTCCTTTTAGCATGACTGCAGAACCTCTCCTGACAGTGGCTCCCTTACTGAGTGTGGGCTGAAGATATTAATAACAGAAGCGCTCTTCCTGTGAGCGCAGGAATTAGAGGCTGTCAGCTCGCTCTCCGCAAGCCTCATAAGAGCGTAAAGATGAGGACGAGGGAGAAGGAGAGCACAGGTACCAATTTACAGCAGCTGCACTTCCCCTACACAGCTTCTCTTCAGCTGTGCGGTGACGCTAGTCTTATTCTTCCAGGTGCAGCATTTCTCTCATTCGGAGGGAATACATTTTCAGGGACATGCAGGTGTTACTGATGTAGCAAGTTTCTTCAGTTCAGTCACTTTTCAAGTGAAGGTACTTTCAGAGAAATAATAGTGCGGGTGATTCTTCAAATACACTTTTTGATCCTCTAGGATGAATCTAAATTCATATATGTATATATATATATATATATATATATACTGTATATATACAGTATTTATACTGTGTATTTTTTAAGCATAAATTGTAATAGTGTTAAACTTCCTATGTTCTGTTTCTTTACTTATTTTAAAAGACATTCATAAGACTAATAAATTAAGGAATGATGAAAGGTAAATTTGACAGAATGTCATGTTGGACAAACTTTTTCCTTTCCTTTTACATTTCCTTTTTCTATTTTAGTTTAAGTTCTAGTCAGTTTGTTATGTGCTTTTGTCATTTTTATTTGTTTAGGGGCTTTTTTCTACTCAACTTTTAGTACTAATTTTAGTTAGCTGCTAAGGCAACATTTATAATTTTCTTTACAGTTTATTTTTCATCTAATATTTATATTTCATTTAATCTTAAATCCCATTAAAGAACACATTTGAAATAGTTTTCGTTTCTTGCAAATCTATCACCCATATTTGTTGCTCTTAATACTGGGTACATATTAATACATAATACTGGGTCCTCTGTATCACCAGACTAACTATTAGGCTTTCACAGCATGTGTGATTAATTTCATTTCTGTAAATTTCCATGTCAAAATCTTGACCTTGGATGCTTTTAATCTTAGTCTGGGCTCTTGTACTGTATACCCTTACAGACGCATGCCTGTATTGACTGATTTTGTTTAAAGGAAACCCATTTCTGATAAAAGCCACTTTTGAACCTAGGCTCCAATGTGAAGTCCAGCATGCTCTTAGAAGGTTGAATAATCTTGAGTCAGCCCTTCTGACAGATAGAACTCTTTTGTTTTCAGTACATTATAAACTCTGTGCATTTGGGGAATAACTTGAGTACAGCACTCAAAAACAAAAGCATCTTCTCCAGTAGATGTTGTTTGATGTGATCGTTTGATGACGATAACACTACTCATCCTTCACCTCTCATCTCTGCGTGACACGTTAGTTCACTAAACCTTGTTCATGTACTGTATTGCGTCTTCTGTTGATCCTTAGTGGGACCTTTTTTGTTGATTGCAGCTTATTACGCCTCTCCGAAATAGCTGATCAAAGCAGTAGCAGCAAGCAGCATACATTCACAGAGATGTAGGTTCTCTTTCATCAGAGTAAGAACCAATGCCGGCTGAAAAACGACTAAGCTGACGGAACAGCCCAGAGCTGTAGATGCATGTAAGACATTATGCTTTTGCCCAGGGTTTGGGAAGCTCTCTATGGAAGGATGGAGAGTGGTGATTGTGGAAGAAAGAGCATGTGGTTTGGCTGAGAGTGTATGGGCGGGTGGAGGGTTGTGTTTATCATGCTGGGAGTGGGGGCTGATTGCAGCTCAGCCTTGATTACCACCACTAATCAGCTGGAAATGGACTATGAGTGGGCATGTGTGTGCATGCGAGTTCGCAGCGAGTTTGTCGACTTGGAAAGGAACGCCTCTCTTATGAAAGCAATGTCTGAAATTGACTTATGAGACAACAGCGTTGAAGAGGGCCGGTCCTTGGGATCTCAAAGGCCTCTCAATTGTAATTGTCTTTATTCTTGTCTTAATTCTTGACAAAGTCGTGAGTCATAATAACAAAGGGGTCTGATTGATTCTTCTTTTACCATGTCTTGAATCTTATGACTGACATATTTTGCTTTGTCCTTCACACAAAAAAGGACGGGCTTATTATGCCTCTTGATTTAGTTACATCACAGCACAATTGTTGGTAGGTGCAACAGTTTTGAAGTACATACGCACTTTATTGCTTTTTTGAGTTTTGGATCACCCACTAAACCAGGTTTTTTTTTTGTGGAAAATGTATACTCTAAAAAATGCTGGGTTGTCCTCCAGCATATATAAATCCATATATACCGTATATATACTACTGTATATATATATATATATATATATATATATATATATATATGAGAAGAGTTCAGATGCAAAAGCCTCTAAATGCCATTAGAAATTTTCTTCTAAAATGATCATTTTTATCAAGCTTGTATATTTAAGTTCAGTAATTTAACTTAAATGGCAATGAAGATTACCTATTAATTGTCATGAAATTACTGAACTTAAAAATACAAGCTTGATAAAAATGGTCATTTTAGAAGAAAATTTCAAATGGCATTTAGAGGTTTTTGCATCTGAACTCTTCATATATATATATATATATATTTCACTTCTTTAACTATTTGAC